TCCTCTAGCTCCCAGCTACTGTCGCCTTCCTCTAGCTCCCAGCTACTGTCGCCTTCCTCTAGCTCCCAGCTACTGTCGCCTTCCTCTAGCTCCCAGCTACTGTCGCCTTCCTCTAGCTCTTTAGCTTCTAGCTACTGTTCCTTTAGCTCTTTTTAGCTTCCAGCTACTGTTTTGTTCTTTTAGCTTCTAATCAAGTTAGTTTTAGCTTCTAGTTTGTTTGTTACTTTGGCTTCTAAAGAACCTCAATGCTCATAGCACCTCTTAGCTTTTAAATAGTGTTTTGACCCTTAGCTTAGCATTTTAGGACCTTTTAGCAAGTTAACATTTTTAGCTTSCCAAGCAAAACGCTCTTAGCATAGTCATATAGCTTTTAGCTAGTGTTTTGCCCTTTCTCGCTTCTAAAATTGGACAAAATGCACTTAGAAGCTAAAGGAGCTAAAATCAGGCTGTTTTGCAGCTTTAGCTTCTAAGCTAGCCAACCATTAGCTTGTTCATTTAGTTTTTAAGTAGCAAAGTGCTCTTAGCTTAGTGTTTTAGTACCTTTTAGCAAGTGTTAACACACTTTAGGTCTCAGCTTCAGCTTGGTGTTTCAGAAGTTAGCTTCGTCAGGTTTTATAGCTCGTTAAATCATGAGTTTCAGTTTTGTCAGATTTATTTAAGAGTTTAAAGTTTGTAAATTTATCAGCTAATTTAAAAAAAGTTCGATTATTTGACCCCAAATAAAAATAAATAAAAATTAAATTAAAAAAAAAGGTCAAACTGACCTGCAAACAAACGAAAACACTTCAGTTCAGGTAATTAAACTCGTTAGATCAGACCTCAGGTTTTGGACTTTAAAACCTGGATCCATCAGTTGGACCTGGTCTGGACCCAGTCAGGTGTACCTGAAGACGGCCTTCTGACCCAGGTCGGCCCAGAAGATCATCTGCTGTTTGAAGTCTGCGTCCAGAGCCACCACGTTCCTCTGCTGCTCCACGATCTGAGTGTACTCCTTCCTCTCCAGACCCAGGCGCCGCACGTCCCGCCGGTTGGTGAAGATCAGGCACGGCTCCTTACCTGAACACASAAAATACTAGAACACTTCCTGGAAAAACCAAGGGCTTCAATTCAAAAAAGATTTACTGATCCCAGAGGGACATTAGGTGACCACGCAGGCTCACCGTGCTCTACCACGGTAGCTATGGCGGCCATCTTGGATCTTAGATTTGGCTTCAGATGATTTGAGATCCTTCTTAGCTACTAGCACCACTGGTTAGCTAAAAATGCTCAAATTTGAACCTAATGAATTTATTCAGGATTCAGATTTTGTCAGCTTGATCTCAGCTACTATTAGATCAGTTTTCAGCTCCAAGTTTTAAAAAGGCTGAATCAAAGCCTTTACGTAAATTAGCATTAGCGGTTAGCTTAAACTTGTGATTAGCATTCAGAACGTGTTGCGTTAGCGCTCAGCTATTAAATTCCTGCAGCACGACACTTTAAGATGAGAAAAATCTTGAGTTTAGACAACCAGCCGTGTGAAAACTAATTTAAATATTTGAATAATTCTTGAACCTTGAGCGACAGGAGATTATGGTTTTTAGTCATGGAAATTTTCTAGTTTGTACAGCGCTTTGTCTCAGAGATATGACGAGTTTAAATAGTTGTTTTGCTTCTGAAACAGACAGGGAAATAAAATTTACATAAAGACAGAAGGGAAGTGGTTCTTTCAGGGCTCGTTAGGTTAAATTTTAAGATCAGGAGACATTTAAGACCAAACATTAACATTCAAATGGTCCCAGAAATTTTAACAAACCTTCCACTGCCATAAATTTAATTAAATACTTAATTTTTATACAAGAACACTAAGTTATTTTAATGAAAACTGTCATATCTGAGACTATCATATTTTCTGGTTTTGCTGTAGAAGACAAAAATGCTACGTTTTGATTTATAATTTGTCTGYATCATGAAAATTGTATGAAAACAGTGTATCCTATGAGGGTTTTTGACAGTAGATTTGAGATCTACACAGTCATGTAACAAACACCAGTAAAAGTAACAGCACTCCTCCCAGTGCCGAGCCGGTCGTTTTGATGTAACGTTTGTAGGGCAGCATTAATGTACGACTATAAAAAGATAAAGTACAGATCCTTTGAGGTGGAGAACAGGTGCTGCYGTTCACCTGAAAAGGCGGAGCTACACCTGCTGGGTCGAGGGTCTAAGAGTGGAGCTGACATACTGCAGGTCACAATTGTTTGGTGAAAACAAGTTGAGTACGTGTTGTGACTCCGCTTCGTTTTCATACAGTAAATAGAAACAGGAAGTGACATCAAAGGGGAACTCCYGTTAGTAAAATAAGCTGATGTCCAGTCATCTGTTCAGGTTCTGTAAAAACAGCTGTGGTCGTTTGACTTCAACAGGTCTTTAATGGACCAGTTCTGGAGGACGTGGACCAGTTCTGGAGGACGTGGACCACGTCAGGACTCACCCACAGCCTTGCAGACTCCAGTAGCAGGATCCATCTGGTAGCCGTTGTGGCACTCACACTTGTAGCCCCCCTTCAGGTTGATGCAGATCTGGCTGCAGATGCCAGGATTCATGCACTCATTGATGTCTGAACACAGGAGAGGACATTACAAAATAAGAGCTGCTTTTATCAAACATGTTTAATAAATAATGACAAATAAAAACTCAAATCGCTCCAGGATTCAGGAGGAACGTAAAAAACCTGCCAAGAGGCACGAAGACTGTAATTCAAAGCTTTAATTGATGTTGAGGCACAAACCCACCCAGAGTAAATATTCATTTCTGCTGATTGTACGTCTGGGACTGAATTAAAGTGCTGCTGGGAGACCAGCTGGGTTCCAGCTCCAGAGTGGAGCAGAACCATTACAGAAACATCAGAGGAGGGAYTGGAGCCAGAACTGGGCTGGATCAGAGCGAGCTGAAAGAACCTGCAGGATTTGTGATTAAAACCATGGATTACAACAKGATTTTTACCTCGTTATGAGCTGGAGGTTTCAGGACTGGATTTCAAAATAAGAGCATGTAACAAGATTTTATTACATCATACAGAGTATCAGACCCAAATGGATCGATTCAAGTTTTCCTAAAAGTCAGAAAAGTGATTTCTTTAAAATTAACCTCTGACAGACGAAAAAACATGAAAAATTACTGAATATGAAAACATTACGTAACTCCTCAGAATTTTGTTGTAGACGTGATAAAGCTTTGCTTAAACTGGTTAATCTAACAAACCATTAACTCCTTCAAATTAAAAGCGTCCAGGTCAATCTGACAAACCCTTCAAATTAAAAGCGTCCAGGTTAAATGACAAACCCTTCAAATTAAAAGCGTCCAGGTTAAATGACAAACCCTTCAAAATAAAAGCATCCAGGTTAAATGACAAATCCTTCAAATTAAAAGCGTCCAGGTTAAATGACAAATCCTTCAAATTAAAAGCGTCCAGGTTAAATGACAAATCCTTCAAATTAAAAGCGTCCAGGTTAAATGACAAACCTCCGCAGGTCTTGTGGTCCAGGAGCTGCAGTCCAGGCGTGCAGTCGCACTCGAAGCCGATCACCATGTCCTTACAGATGTGCGAGCAGCCTCCGTTGTTCAGCAGACACTCGTTCAGATCTGCAGGACAAACGTTTGGATCAGAACCGCTGCAGGACAGAACCTGGAGTCCACACGGCCCCGCCTCCTCCTGAACTCACTGCACTCCTTCAGCGGCTCGTCGCTCCAGTCCGGACAGTCTCGGACCTTGTTGCACACTCGGCTCATGTCGATGCACTCTCCGCTGCGACACTTGAACTTGTGCGGCCCGTTGCACTGAGTGACTGCAGACACACACAGTCAGGACTTCAGGGACACACAATGACGAGCAGCAGACTTTAAAAACACACAAAACCAGCAGCACCAACCGTTTCTACAGCTGGCTTCATCCGAGCCGTCGGCGCAGTCTCTCAGGCCGTTACACTGTTTATTACCCAGAATGCAGTTCCCATCGTCACATTTAAACTGATCCAAGCCGCAGGTCCGAACAGCTGCACGACACAAACACACGTTACAGTCGAGAAAATCAACACCTTAAATCAGATCAGACTGAATCTCCTCTGATGAAAACAGCTTCTTTAACTCGGTTCAGTCTTTGTCCAAAACCTTAAAATACATTATTTCAATAAACAGCATTCATTTACATCTGTTTTAAGTTTAAAGTATTAATTTTGGATCATTTTAACAAAACATGCAAACACACACGTTTATCACAAACTGTCAAAGTTTATCAAATTATTTTTTAAATTATTTCATATTTTAAAAACAGAGGTTCAGAAACAGACAAAATAAAAACGAAGACCCAAAACTACAGCTGAAAATGCAAATAAATCAGTCTAAATTCAGATAAAACTGTTAACTGGACCACATTGTGTTTAGACTTCACCGACTCGTGTCAAACTCACGGTCCGTGGGCTAAATATGGCTAGACAGCMTTTTGTGTGGTCCAGGAGAGCCTCAAAACTGTTAATGTTTTAAAATAAGCTGCATAAACTACATGTCCCATGATGCACGCTGATTATTTTACTCATGAATCAACAGCATCCCACCACTAGGTGGAGCTGCACAGGGTTCAAACAGAGTCATAAAATCTCCATTTAGCTTCATGTTCAGCTTTTGCTGCAGTTGTACTGGAAAGTATTAGAAAAAACATTTTATCAAATTTTGCTCATTTTCAACAATTCAAACTTTTCAACTGATGAAATATTTAATTAAGCTTATTGTAATTTTGGCAAAATATTATGTCCACAAGATGAAATTGAGTGAAAAAAGCCCCTCATGGAATAATTTTAAAGAGTTTGATTTAAAAATATAAACTGCCTCTGTTGAAAAACTCACCTTAAATAATCAGAAACTTGGAAAAACAAGAAAATTTTAAAAAATTAATATCTCATAACCAGACCCCTTTGTGATATTTTGTTTATATTCATGTTACATATTTGTTGCTTATGTATTTTTGTAACAGTTTCTTTATTTTCTATTATATTTTTGTACATCTGTCAAATTTGAAATAAAAGATTTGGAATTAAAAAAAAAAAAGTTGTACTGGGAAGTGGGAAATTCCCACTTACAAGTCGTAAATTTAAACTGAACACCTTTCTAGTGCGAAAGGTCAGAATTCAAGATGGCAGCTACTCAGTGTAAAACTTTCACTTTTTATAGTATTTATTTTACATGCAGTCAGTCGTACTTTTCAGTGTTTATAAGGGTTAAACACTGTTCCTATGCAGGAAACACCAGGTAGAGCTCAGTGTTAGTGGCTCAGGAACGTGAGGTTTTAGTTGAAGTTTATTACAACCTGACACTCCTGCTGTTAAAGTAAATCACCTGAAGTCAGTTTTAAATAGAAAAGTCTAATTTCAAATAACCGACTGAACCGTCTGAAGCTGAAGGAAAAACAKTTTTAGATAAAAACCAGGAGTTCTCCTGTAAACGAGCTCAGACAGGATCGGGTCTGGTACGTACGACAGTTGGCCTCGTCGCTGCCGTCCTTGCAGTCGGGGTCTCCGTCGCAYCTCCACTTCCTGTGGATACACTCCCCCGAGCCGCACTGCATCTCGCTGGACGAGCACTTGGCCGGCGGCGTCGGGTGGCGGCCGCAGTGAGACGGAGACTCRTCCGACTGATCCTGCAGAAAACAGACCTTCATGAGTGAAGGGAGGAGCCTAAAATAACTTCCTTTAAATCAAGACATTTACAGCTCAAAGACCTGACATCAGACTGAAACTTTAAAACAGTCCGACAGAAACTTAACGAGACRTTTCTTAATCCAAACCGACCAATCAGAGCAGATCAGAGGGTTTCTCACACTTTCATCATCTTAAAGAAACCCGTGGGAAAAATAATGACGGCTGAAGAAATCTTCAACCGCGGCTCAGAAACTCAAGACTGACAGGAAGAGAAAAACCCACGAGCTTTGAGCTTCTGACTAAACCGTCTCAAACAAGTCCTGGATCCTGTTGGACCTGCTCCACCAAAACATCAGTTTTTAGAGTCATGAAGCTGAGAAGGTTTAATTATCAGAACTTTATAAAGTTCAGTCATGAGCTGTGAGAAAATAAAAAAACTCTTCCAGACGGTTTTAGASTCATCCTAAACCCACGTTAAAAACCCTTAAAGTTCTGAAGCGGTACCTGGCAGTCCACGTCGTCGTCACAGACCCAGCTGGAGGGGATGCAGGACGAGTTCCCACACTGGAACTCACTGGGACCACAGGAGGACGGAGCGCAGTCCACCTCGTCAGAGCCGTCGCCGCAGTCGTCCTCGCCGTTGCACACAAAGTTACGGGAGATGCAGCGGCCGCTGGTGCACGTGAACTCGTTCAGAGCGCACGTGACGTTACCTGGTGGGGCGGGGACAGGTGAAATACTGAGAAGTTATGTTTGAAAAGGTGTGTGGGGTAAAAAATGCTGACTCATGCTTGTTTAGTCCCAGCTACCAACTGAGACCCTGGGAGGTAAAATATCTGTTCCCTAAAGCAGAGAGTCTTAGCCATGGGTCTCTGGTGCCACTTTACGTTCAACAAATAKGGCCCCGAGAWCAAAAAAGGTTAAGAACCCCGGCCCCTAAAGGGTTAATGTTCAGGGGAGGGAGGGGCTAGTTGTGCGAGTGGAGAGAGACGAGCTCTGCAGCCTGGCAGGGACAGAGGAGCTGTGTTTTGTGGGTCCAGCAAGTTGCAGCTGCCCGTCCTGTTTTATAACTTATTGTTGAACTCTAAAGAGTTTGTAGACAACTGTTTGCACTTTTGAGTCATTACGACAGCTTTTAGCTTCACTAATTTAGCACGTTCCACACGTCGATGTCCGCTCTGAGTAAACAAAGTTTAACCTGGTGGGTTAAAGCCTGGCAGTACGCGGTGCGATTTTATCATTTTTATAGCGAGATGATAAATTATTACCATGGTGGATGTCTTTGACGGCATGTCGCCCATCCCTAGAGACCACCCCCAACACTACCAACTGAGACAGTGTTATGGTTTCTTTAGCTACATTTAGCATCCCCACAGTTCTCACCCTGCTAACACTGGACACAAAAACAGCCACCAACTGTTGGACAAATCCTACAAAACCACAGAGAATGGTTCTGGAGAAAGAGATTAAAGTTTTTAAATTCATGACTAAAACTAAAAACAAGTCCYGACAAGAACCAACAAGTTCTTCAGTCCCACAGAGCTGCTGATTAATTTACATTAAATCAGATTTAATTAGATCTAAACTGAACTGGTTCAGCTGCTGAAGAAAAGCTAAATAAATGTAAAATATACACTAAACCTGCCTCTGAAAYTAAGTAAAACTGTTATTTTAGCCTCATTTTCAGCAGAAGTCAAACTCCTGAAGACCTGAGGTCCACCACGTCTTAAAGGACAGGTTAAACAAGAGGCTCTGCCCACCACAGTCGACCTCGTCCTCGCCGTTGTCGCAGTCCTTTTCTCCGTCACATTTCCAGAAGACCGGGATGCACTGAGTGGTTCCAGGTCCACAGCTGAACTCGTTGACTCGGCACGTCCTCGCGTCTGCAGGAGAACAATCAGTTTGTTGTAGTTTAAAGACGTGAAGCTTTAAAACATTTAAAAATAAAATAATTAACTGGTTCTGTTTGACCATTAAACCCGAYTGACCAGAGTTATATTTACTGAGAGTTAAACTCTGCTCAGAGCTTCACCTGCCACACCCTAAAAATGTTTTGGTACAAATTTCAGCAGATTCAACAGTTAAAGCAGGGCTATTCAACTGGTGGCCGACGGGCCACATCAGGCCCACAAATGACCAGAGCTCGGCCCACCAATTGGTTCATTCATCTTTTAAACCCAAACCCCCGGGTTTCTACTTTAATTACTCCAAGTTCTTTTAATTAAAACAGACATGTTTGCATCTACAGAAACAATCTTGTCTACAAGCTGATTAAAAACATTCATATGAACATGTAAGACATAAAACTACAAGCAGCTGAAGATAAAACTATGAAAGTGAAAATAAAATGTGGCAAATCAGATATTAAACAATTATTTTAACAGGAGAAATAATGCTTGTTTTATTATCACTACTTTTATTATAGAGCTCTGTATGTTGTATTTATGATTAAATGCAGTAAAATAAACTCAGGTAACAGATCTGTGTAATACTTTAACAGAATAACTACTGGATGTTCGGCCCTCAGCTGTTGACCTGCAGGAACTGATTTAGTTGAACAGCCCTGCTGTAAATGAAACTAAAATTAAAAACCATTTGAAACATGTTGAAACGTTTCCTTCAGCAGCTTCTCAGACATGTTGACAGACGGAGTTCCTCCCTCCTGGAGTGGAGGTCACAGCTGGTCAAACAGCAGCTGATCGACGCCCAGCTGCAGGTCTGAGGAGGACGTGTTTGACCCGACAGCAGGTCTGACTCGTGGTTTCAGACGTTAGAGCTCATTTCTGAATAAATCACAGCCTCCGACTCAAACGAGTTGTTTTCAGGCTCTGAACCACTTGATGACAATCAAAACAAAAAGCAGAAGTTTAGCTGCTGCAGCTTCTAACTGTTTCCCTGTCAGACCTGACAGGAAGTTCTACCTGCTACAAAACCTCCCCCCTAACCCCTCCTCCTTCAGGCTCCGCCCACTTTCACTTCCTGGATCTAAGCCCAGCTCGGGTGGGGACTCACGGCAGATCTCCAGGCTCTCGTCAGACCCGTCCTCACAGTCCGGCTCTCCGTCACAGTGCCACCTCTTTGGGACACACTGTCCACTGCGACACACAAAGTCCACGTCTGCGCAGGTCTTCTTCACTGAAAGTTTAGACAAAAACATAATGTTTGTAAAGTTTTAAGCGACAAAAACTAATGTTTGTAAAGTTTTAAGCGACAAAAACATAATGTTTGTAAAGTTTTAAACGACAAAAACATAATGTTTGTAAAGTTTTAAACGGCAAAAACTAATGTTTGTAAAGTTTTAAACGGCAAAAACTAATGTTTGTAAAGTTTTAAACGGCAAAAACTAATGTTTGTAAAGTTTTAAACGGCAAAAACTAATGTTTTTAAAGTTTAAACGACAAAAACTAATGTTTTTAAAGTTTAAACAACAAAAACTAATGTTTGTAAAGTTTAAAGTGTGGACTCACTGCTGAACAACATCCTGAGCTTTAAACTCTAAAAAGACACAATGACACCCGACACCAATGCTCCTCCAAACAGGACAAATTGAGCGCTGATGGTYCTGTTAGWGCATTTTATTTTGAAAGGTTCATAAAGGAAACTGWTTACAGGCGAGTTCCTCTTTGGTCAGAATTAAACTCTTTATTCCAGCTGAGGTCCTTCAGACTGATGAGCCAACAGCTGGTCAGAACCAGCAGTGCACACAAGCTACAGCTAGCTGCTAGCGGGTCAACAGCTGCCGAACCTCAGATCTGCTGTTGGTTGGGTTTTTTTWAAGTCTGGTTCAGAACAGTACTGATCCACTTTGAGACCTCATACCAGCTTGTCTCAAAAAGCCATCTACAACAGGTAAGATACTGCCCACAAAGACTAACAGCTAAACCTGAATTTAACCTCTAAACCTCTTACACACACACACTTAAAATTAATAAAGATTTATGGAGTCTGAACAAATAAGTCTTATTTAACTTTAAAAATAAATAAAAACAGAAGACCCTCTTCTCATCCACCCCCACAGTGACCCAGATACATGAGGTACTGGACCGAGACTCCTCTTGTTGGGTCTATTTTTAGGATGGACCACATTCACACCGGGTCATTGTCCCTCAAAGGATTGTGGGAAAGCTCCAGTTGGGAGCGAGCCATCAGGACTTCCAGAACCTGATGCCTGTTCAAGCTGAGGTCAAGGTCAGAACCCTGTACTGAACCCGACCTTTAGGTGACCCGTTGGGTAATCTGAGCCAAACGGACCAGACTGTTTGACAGTTGGTTTATTTTCTGTAGGTCTGTTCCAGCTGGTGTTCCTGTTCTGGACCTGGACCCGGGTCAGGCTCAGGGTCTGGTCTTACCACAGGAGCTCTCGTCGCTGCCGTCGGTGCAGTCCTGGTCTCCGTCACACTGCCACACAGACGGGATGCAGCGGCCGTTCCCACACTGGAACTGGTTTGTTTCACATTCAGTTTTTGTTCCTGAGCAGAAAAAACAAAATGTTTTATTATAAAAGAATCAGGAGAAACTTTGGTTCCAAGATGTTTCACAACATTTTCACATCTTTGACTCAAAACATGATAAAGTTTATTCTGGAAACAGTTTGGCTCCAGTAGGGCTGAGCTGTACGACTTCACTGTATCAGGTAGAAATTAATCTCTTCACAGTAACCGTATATTTATATATNAACATAACGTTTGTACAGTTTAAACGACAAAAACATAACGTTTGTAAAGTTTAAATGACAAAAACATAACGTTTGTAAAGTTTAAATGACAAAAACATAACGTTTGTAAAGTTTAAATGACAAAAACATAACGTTTGTAAAGTTTAAGACAAAAACATAACGTTTGTAAAGTTTAAATGACAAAAACATAACGTTTGTAAAGTTTAAGACAAAAACATAACGTTTGTAAAGTTTAAATGACAAAAACATAACGTTTGTAAAGTTTAAACGACAAAAACATAACGTTTGTAAAGTTTAAACGACAAAAACATAACGT